TAGCCTGCTGCACAGCCGTGCAACTTAGAGGGAACTTAGGCCACCGGGACTTATTATGTTTCTGGGTGTCACAGTCCTGAAGGTTGTCTTTGCTTCTGCAGTCTGTAAATCCTTCATAAGTCCCGTGTAGGACACTGAAGACTTTATTAACACTGCCAGGGACCTTGGAGACTTAATTAAGTCCATCAGAGACCCTGGAGGCCTCTCAGAATTTCTAATGACTATTTCTAAAATGAACCACCCAACCTTCCAACACTACTGTAAATCCCTACTCCTCGTTAAAGACAAAGAAATAAAATAAATGTGAAGATTTTCAATCAAGATGTCAATGAAATATGATATACTGAACAAATTAAACTCTCCAGAAAGTGAAACTCTTATTCTTGTAGTTCTGAAATAAGTCCAAGAAACCTGTAGCTTTAAAAAAAAACAAATAAATAAACACTGACGGAAGCGTAGACATGATAAAAGACAAGAAGAAAGGAGTTGTTCTGAGGAAATTGTGGTGGCAAGATTGTGTTAGTTACAATCCTAATTACGGAGTGCTATCATAGCTCCATAATGTGCAGTCAAACTTTGCGATAGTAGAGAGCACAGGTTTTTTTTAACGTTTAAATTATACAGTAAAAATCACATGCTAATTGTACTGTGTAAGGTATTGCATAAGTGGGAAAAATATAATAACTGTTTCACATTAATATTGTGTCACATGGGCAAGTCAGGAATGCCAATAACAAATGAAATCTGCATTATACAAAATGAAACAAAACAGAACAACAGCTTCTGTTTCAAGAGTCCCAGTCAACTTTAAAATCACACGGATATCGGAATTATTTTTATCTATTGTTACAAATAACAACAAGATGACTATTGGAACAGATTAGAGAAAAAATATATGTTTTTACTTTATGTATGTGACAGCACTTTGGGCCTAATCAAAAGCCCACTGAAGTCAATGGCAGTCTTTCCCTTGTATATAGTTTCTACAGTAGAGTCAGACTCTTCTGTTGTTTGTGTGGGTCTTTCCCACAGCAACAGGAGAGAAAAATACTATTAAAACATAGAGAAAACTGATTGTAAAACCACAAAAATTGGCAGAGGAGCTCAATGACAGTTGAAGTACTTGAAAGTACTTTTAACTGAATTGTTTTAATCAGCTATATTTCAAGCTGATCGTGTCATGACAGTTGACATGTATTGTTGACAGGGACCTGATCCTACATCTTGAAGACAGGGAGGGTTTTATAATTGGCTGCCATGGGCAAGGTTAACTGTCATACTATGAGCCCATTATGCCAGCCCCATTTGGGCAAACGGACTGTAAAACTGGTAAATCTGGACACCAAGGAATTCTCCCAGTATAGGAGGTATCTCCATATGGCATAGAGATGCCATAATGTCTCTGTGCTGCTTCCCCTGTTGCAGAGAGTTGGTAGGGTCCATGATCAGGAAAGAGGGAGTTACTGGAGAGCAACTGTTGGGGCCAGAGGCAGCCAGGTGCTACTTAGGTCAGCCCTGAAGCTGCATAACCTTCTAGAGGCCTAATGGGATGCCAGAAGAATCCAGAAAAAGGAAGGAGCAAAGGTAGTGCTAATCCTCCCCTCTGCTCTCACGCAGCTCCGTCCCAACTGGAACTTGGCTGGATGTGAGAATGAAGCCCATTTGGGGCTGCACCAAGCCCTAGCTAGATGTATAGTACAATACAACATTTAGTGCCAAATCAGCCAGAGTAACCAGAGTAAGGTGTAGGCTGGGGAATTTTGTTGGGTTCCATTGGGAAAAGAGTTTTCCCCCTTCCAAGCCATGAAATGGCTGTTTCTGCAGCCTCAGGATTACATCAATCCATGTATGTACATAGCCCGTGGTTCTGCCCTCATCCTTTTGCTACCACATCCTGTCCTCTGATTTCCTGGCAGTAGGCAGAGCTAGCAGCCACAGAGAAGATGTTTGTGGGCCAAGGTTAGTGCAGGTACCGCTGCAGGATGGTTGTGCTGCAAGAGGGGAAGCACTGAGTACATCTGTTGTACATCATGTATAGCAAGGGGCATGTCCCTGCATGTCACTTAATGCCTAAGAGGCATTTTATGCCTTTCAAAGGCAGAGCGCTACTCCCACCTCTCACCAACAGAGGTGCTAATGAGAGGAGTTAGGACATATGAGAATCAGTCCTGAAAATATTGTACTCAGGTGAGTAACCCTATTTGACTTTAACGGGATTGCTCATGAGGTTTAAGCGTTTGCAGAATCAGACCCTTGGGATGACATGCTTATTTACATAATGCTCCCAGTTTCTGATCTGTCAGCCTCAGGCCCTTTTGTGTTTAGACCCTGCAAAGCTTAAAGTTCTCTGTTAAAGGGTTTCACTTAACTAACACTGGGCAAATATATTAAATCACTGTGGGTGACATATAACCCAGAGCACAGGGCCAGACAAAGCCCTACGCAACGTGTAAGCCTCACTTAAACCATGTGTTAAGACCAAGAGGCTTGATTTATCTCAATGCTATTTCAGCTTTATGTTCATAGAGTTACACTGGCATAAAACTGGAATAATGTAAAGATAAATCAGGATCAATGTTTTGTCCTCAGCACCCAGCCTGGATAACTGGGTTGTTGGCTATGGATGTTTTCGGAAGGCAAGAAAGAAGGATTCTTGCCTTCTAGGCCAGAGACCTGCAGCAGAACCATTCTTCAGCCACTGCTCCAGCCTAGTAGCTGGAATAGCTTGCAAACCTACTCCCCTCCCTCCCTCCCCAAGAGGAAAAGAACCAGAAGATCTGTATAGCTGTGGATCTTCCATCCCTGTCCACTCTCTGTCCCAGGCTCCCAAACACAAACCTGAACCTGGAGCCCTCATAGATTGGTCTCCGTGCTGTTCAGGGATTGCAAACTCTCTGTATGACTTTACCAAGCCTATTCCCTCTTTTGCACAGTGGAGCTGCACTTATTCCACTGCAAAAGGAGGAGCACTTTCTATACTTATAGGCAAATCCTGCCCCACCACCCATAAGGATCTAAGTGGTGCAAGTAGGACTTTACATGGGCCCTCTGAAATGAGTTGAATTTCATCATTTATGTATTTTAATTATTATTTTTATTATTAATAAGATATGTATATGGATATACAGAAAAGAATGGGTGCTCCATTTGTAGTGCAATATTACAATCAACATCTATAAAGACTGTATGTATGTAAGTTCAGTGTTATGTATTGTTCAGTGTTGTGGACCACCTGAAAGTCACTAGTGTTCTGTGTAGACACAGAGACTGAATCGGGACCTCTCTGTGGGAGATGTAATGCACAATTTCCTAATATTAGCTGGTTTTAAATTTTTTTCAATGATGTATTTGAAATATATATGTTAATTTGTCCAATATAAAATGTATAGTTTATACAGAAATATCTCCAAAAATATTTCTATTACAGTAATTTAAAAAATGCAGTTGCATAAAAGACTTGGGTCCAAACCCTTTTCTTTACTCATGAGAGTAGTCCCATTCACTTTAATATACTGCTCTTGTGTGAAAGAAGAAAAGTTTGGTTATACAAAAGATTAATACTTTATAAATAAAGCACATGAGTTGTTTCTACCAGTGCCTCTTATTCTCTGGAAGTTCCTGATTTGTGTGACTGTTCATGTTGCCTTCCTTGTTATTCTGAGTGTTATATCTTCCCCATTTAAACTATAATAATTGGGGTTGAGTCTCAAACTGTGACAGTTAGACTAATGATCATTTTTAAGGGTCAGATTTAAGAATGCTGGCCTTTTAGGATCTGCAAAATAATTGGGGGCACCCTTTTGCACAGCAATTATTTGCTCCTGCAGTTTAGGTCACAAGTTCAAGTGACCTAAACTGTAACTACAAAATAAATGAATAAATAATTGTGGGTGCAACACAGCTTCCACAATTATATGTGCCTATGGTTTTGTGAAAGCAAAATGGGAGACCCGCTAGAGGCCTTGTTAAAAATATTAAGGATAAATGCCTGATAATACATACAGCAAAAATCATTCATTATAGGAGGGGAACTTGAAACACCACCTTTAAGAGACTCAGGGCTTGATCCTGTAAGGTGCTGAACACTTTGGCCCTGATCCAGCAAATGATGTGTTTAATGGTTAACTGCCCTCATAGTTGAAATCAAGCATATGCCTAAGTGCTTTGCTCATTTTGCAGGATTGAGCCCATAGTCAAATTAAAAATCTTGTATTTAAAAATATATTTTACTTGTATGGTTACATGTAACACCTTGTTATGAAAACTGAATTTAAAATCTAGCATACCCTTCACTATTTATACTGTTTGTTTATCTTTTCCATTGTGCTCAGCATGTACAAATGAAAATACACTGGTCAGTTTCACTTTTGTTTATATTCATTTTCTGTCTCAGGCACTAGTTGCTTGCTGTGTGATGTGTGGGTTAGAGAAACTGCTTCAGAGTGAGAACGGTTACAAGTTGAAGGGCCTGTTCCGCATTGCTATGCCAATTCACACCAGCTGAGGAGCTAGCCCTGAATCTTTTTTGGTTAGATAAAAACTATTTTTCTTTTAATTTATAAAAACAAACCATGAAAACATTTTCATTGCTTTTAGATTTTGAAAAAGCACCCGGAGAGTGAAAACAGTAACATTCAATCTATTAAATCATATCATTTATATTGCATTGTAGCCCTGAGTCGACTGAGTATGATGATAGATTCCTTTCTTCTCCGAGAATTAATCCATATGTAATGATTCCCTCCCCTCTTTTCCTGCCCTGCCCCAGTAGCACAGCTTCTACCACAGTATTGTGTGAGGAGCAGCCAGGCTCGAGCTGTAAGTAGCCCGCAAGAAGAAAACTACAACTCCCGTGATGCCGTGCATCAGCGCAGTGCGCGATGGGAATTGTAGGTTAACAGCGTTTCTGTTCCCTCAGAGGAGGGATGAAAAAACTACCATTCCCAGGAAGCGCGGGGCTCCGGCGCAGGCGCAGAACAGGGTGGAAGGAGGGGGCGTGCTCCACGGGGCTGTCTATGTCTGTCGGTTTCGGGCGCTAGTCGCCATTTAGCGCGGAGAATTAGCCGGGCCGGGCCGGGCGCAGCGGCTCCTCCCCCCTACCCTCGCGAGGGAGACACCCGGGCTCCCTGACCGGGGCCTTGCGGAGGAGGCGGCTTCGCGGGCGGCCCCGGTGAGAGACCCGCGAGGGGGGTTTCCGGCTCCCTGTGAGGCGCCGGCAGGCAGCGAGGGGGCCGGCCCCGCGGCGAGCGGTTACTTCCTACCGGGAGGAGGCCGAGGTCGCCATGGGCGCCGTGTGAGGCGAGAGCTCCCTCAGGCTCCGAGTGCCCGGGCCGCGCTTCTCTCCCCCGGCGGGGCGTGCCGGGCCTGCTCTCCCCTCTCGCGGCAGGGGAGTGCGGGGCCTGCGCCCCCGGCGCAGCCGCTTCCCGGCCTGGGCCCGCCTCGCTCCCCACCCCCAGCCCGGGGGGCCAGTCGCTTTTCCTCTCAGAGAGCAGCTGGGCTGTCCCGCTGCAGGCAGCCAGCGGCTTCTCCCGGCCCGGCACCTGCCTCAGGCTCCTCTCGACTTCTCCCCCCTAGTGCCGTGTCCTGGTCCCGCTGCTGTCGCTCCATGTCGGCCCCGCTGCCCGGCTCCCCGCTGCAGGATGGATGTGGACGCTAAGCAGGGACCCACCCCGCCGCTGGCCCAGCAGCCGCCGCCAAGCCCCGCTTTGAGGAGCCCTTGGGACCCTCCTCTGTTGCAGCAGCAGCCGGACGCGCTCCCCGCTCAGTGACACCTCCCATCCTCTCAGCAGCGCTACCCCGAGCCCCGCAGCACCATGTCGGAGGGCGCCGCAGAGAGCAGCAGCCCGGCCCCCCGCTTCCTGGCTCCCCCGCCGCCTCCGCCCAAGAACGGCTCTAGCTCGGACAGCTCCGTGGGGGAGAAGCTAGGAGCCGTCGCTGACCATGATGGCTCGGGGGCCGGAGGAGCAGGCGGCGAGGTGGGAGGCGGGGGCCGGAGCGAGGAATACCGGCGTCGCCGTCACACCATGGACAAGGACAGTCGTGGGGCTGCAGCCACCGAGCACCGCTTCTTCCGCCGTAGCGTGATCTGCGACTCCAATGCTACAGCTCTGGAGCTGCCTAGCTTGCAGCCCGCAGCACCCCCGGCCGTCGCCACTCCCGGGAGTATCACCCCGCTGCTGGGCTCCCCTCCTGAACCCGCTAGCCAGACCCCCTGCATCTCTGTCACCCACGTCCCCTTGCTATTGTTGCAACAGCCGTCTCTGTCGCTTCCCCACGAGGAGCAACCCATTCAGGAGCCCCCTGCAGCAGAGGACATCGCCCCGCTACTGCCCAAAGGAGAGGCAGAGGAAGCCGCCCCTTTACCCCCTACCAACACGGCAGGCAGTGCAGCCACTGCCAGCCGGGAGCTCCAGAACCGACAGCAAGAGGATATCGAGGAGTTAGAGACCAAGGCGGTGGGCTTCTCCCTTGATGGTCGCTTCCTCAAATTCGATATTGAGATTGGAAGAGGCTCCTTCAAAACTGTCTACAAGGGGCTGGACACAGAGACTACGGTGGAAGTTGCCTGGTGTGAATTACAGGTAAAAGAGGTGCAAATTCCCCAAGCACAGTCATTCCCCTGCTGCCAGCCTCAAGAGAAGGGCAGAATCCTCAGATGTCAGGTCAACTGTCATCAGGGATGGGGGACACAGTTTTCCCTAGGTGCCAGCCAGCAAGCCATTCCTTGAATGGAGGGAGCAACTTCTCCCATGAGCTAGGCTGCCTGTTTGATTCCCTACAGGTCTCTTCCCCCTTATGAGGTTGTCCAAGCTCTGAGACTTCAGAAACAGTAACTGCATTGATTTTGCTGGAGCACTTAGCCTTCATGTTTTCTAAAGGTAATTTGGAGAGTTGCACAAAATCCTTTACCTGAGAGATAAAGGGGTTCAAGCTATAAAATTAGCATTTATACTTATTGAAATCTAGTTCAAGTCTACCTCCAGCTAAGATAATTTTTTTCAAAAGATTAGCATTTGACATTAATGTCAAGAAAAATGTATAAGGTAGGGGAAACACTTGCATGTGTGGCTAACGTCCTCTTACAAGAGATACTCAAGAAATATGCTAGCAAAGTGCACATAATACAGAGGTAAACCAATGTAAAATTAAACTTGAGTTGGTAGTGTACTATGACTCCCCAGTAGCTCAGCCTAAGTCCCATGGCTGCCTGTTGATACACTGGAAAGTAAATGCTTGCTTTTCATAAAATTGCAAAGGCTGAAATTCAACCTTTACAGGTACCTATCTGGTTAAACTGGTACAAAGATGTTGCCGTACCTGCCAGCTCTTTGCTTCGACAGAGCTAAGGCTGTGCCGAACCCCAGTCTCATGATGGCAACAGCAGCAACTTCAGCTCCATGGCGAGTTGGAGCATGTATAACTAAGTGAGAGGAAGGTTGCTGTGCAACAAGGTTAAGGGGGAGGGTAGAGCCTGGCCTACCAGTTACAAATATCTGAAATAGGGGAATAGAGAGTCTCTGCTTTTGAAAAATTGGAGGAGGAAGAAGAAAGGCAGCAGTGGAAAGTAATCTTCCCCGTTGCTTCTGAAGGATCAAGTGCATGATCTCAGTGCGCTCTCCTGACTGGCTGCAGTATCTCATGTGCCAAAATTCTTCCTCCTCCACAAAGCAACTTGCCTACTCTCACAGTCAAACTGAAAAATGACTGAGACCACTCTCAGCTTGTAGCATGCATTTTGAAATCAAATGACACCCTCTGCCAGTGTCCTGGGTAGCTATGCATCACCACATACGGAACAGGTTTGTGGTAATAGCTTTGCAAGCTTTTTCTTTTTTAAATAAATCCTAAGACCTAGCAGTATACTCAGGGTACCATTGTCATTGGTCCTGTCTGTGTTTAATAGTGATGCCCAATCAGGTGCTAGGCACTACTTAAACTTTCAGTGCACTGTCTGAGTGGTGCATTATTTGTTTTCTTTATGCAGTCTGATGTAATTTTGATTTGAAATCCTAATCTTATTCTCTGTTTAAAAGGCTCTTTGAGTTCATCTCAGATTTATCTTAATATTCAGATATTGTTTATTGACCTGAAATGATTGTCAGCTTGGTAGTGATAATTTCTGACTTCAGCAGATATCATGATAGTCAGGATGTACTAATGGTTATGGGGTACTATAGGAACAAATTAGCTAATAGAAACATCACATACCTTTTTATTTACAAATAAGTCTCTTTATAAAACAGACTTAACCAAGATTTTGAAGTTAAACATTCTTTTATCAGACACTTCAAAAATAATATAATGGTTGGAATAACCATGTAAAACAGAGGGAAGAATCTTTATAAAGTAAGAAAAGGGTGATGAATTCCAGTTAGGTTTTGCTGGAAGGCTATGAGTGGGTTGTAGATTCCATTATTACTGTATTTCACAGTTTGCAGTTTAAGTACCAATGTGTGATAATTCCACAGGGTGAGTGACAAAGGTACAGGGCATGACTAGAGAACTGTTCTAAGGTGGTAGAAATAAACTAGCAACTACAGAAATGAGCCTGTGATGTATGGTAAATAGCATGTTTTAAGGCCATGAGAGTGTTGATTTCTCACTGCCTTCAGTTGTTTTGACTGGAGAGGGATGCTGTAGCCAGTAGTCTTTAGTGATGCTACACATTTACTTCAGTAATAATTGTAGGAGGATGTCATTGCTGTTCTGTCACTTACATTGACGTTTTCTTGGTCTGCTCACTTCACTCAGACTCAACTGTATGGCTTTGCAAGGATGAACTGACACTTTATAAGGATGATCTACTGATGGTAGGAGTGTTGCAGAGAGGAGGAATTAGTGAATTCCATGCCAACATCAGATGGATTAATTTCTTTTGTGAGCACAAATGAGCTCTGATTCTTTTAGGGCTGTCTTGACTTTGTGACCAATTTATGCTTAACCTTTTCATAGTTTTGGTGCTTTGAAAAGTATTATTTTAAAATGCAATAGCTATCTCTTGTCTATAGTTGAAGCTAGTAAGGTAGGGGAAGAAATTCAAACAATTAAAGCTTACTTTTCCTTTTGAAAAGAACTCTGTCCAAAATGTTCAGTTTATTCTTAGATCTCAAACACTAGCACTGCTATGTAATTTGGGAGCTGAAAGGGCATTCTAGACATAGGAGAGGTGATGAGCATGGCAGGTGTCCCTTTAGTTCAGGATTTTTTTTTTTTTATCCAGTGCTACCACAATAAGTCACATCTGAACTTTATAAGAATTTACTTAAGCATAGTGTGTAGCCACAGACACCGTTTTCTGGCTAAGGCTCGTTTGCATGATACAGCAGCCTAACCTGGTGAAAGTAAAACTTGATACATACATGGTATCACACAATTGGAAAAGATGACAGAGGGATAAAACATCACAGTTCTTACTTGCAAGGCATGTGATAGGGGAAAAACTGCAAATGCAGTGCATGGAAGCCTACCAAAACTTCTATATGTATTTAACTTAGTCTTTTGAGTATATGTTTAATGCCTAAGTTATCTGAAACGTCTTTGCTAATAGGAAAGGCTAAAATGCCAATCTTTTTACTGTTTATCAAAATTGTTAAATATTTTTGTTCATGAAGTGTTCAAATTATACAGCACTGAGGACAGTCCTGCTAGAGCATTCACGGATTTGGTGTATTACGCAGGCAAGCCTAGAATGGACTTGGCAATAGAATGTCTGTTTAACTGTGGGGTTTCTAACTGGATGGCACAGCTGTCTTTGACTTTAAACTAGGAACCCGGTAGGGAGATCAAGGGTAAAATTTTCGAGAGTGTCTCATTTTTCAAAAGGAACGTAGGTATTTAAATCCATTTTGAAAAATGACTTTTTCCCAAGTCACTTTGGAAAATCTTACACCATGTCTTTCAGAAGCCTGGACGACTGCCTGGTGGTGTCCCTTGTGTTTGTCAGGCTGAGGATAGTAGCATAAATGGAAAAGTAAACATATCTTTGGTTCTCCAAAGGTGTGTAGCTTAATGGCAGTCCTCCCTTTTGCCAGGTAGGAAACCTGGGTGAAATATCTGTTTTCGCTTTCCTTATACAGGGAAGGTGGGAATCTGTGATATGGAGGATTTTGGAGGAATCTATGATATTGAGGATTTTGGGGCTCTGGGAGTGATTCAATGGAACCCCAGTAGGCAGCCTTGTAGGATATTTTGGCTTTGTTCCAAATGCTTTGGTTCTCACTTCTGTTATTCTCCTTCCACTGGTTACAGGCATTGAAGTGCATCTTCCATTGTCATAATTGGACGTGTCATAACTGCATCTAGAAAGAGGTTAGGGTCAGCACTCATAGGCTTCATGATGTAGATGGCAAGCACAAAATCAGTTGAATGTCTCCTTGTGAATGGAATGACAGTAATTCAAAGAAGGGAAAATAGCTATGTATAACTCTTAACATGGCTGGTTAATCTGATCGTTCAAAAATGAAAAACAATTCTTAACTGCCTCTTTTGGTTCAGTAGCATTGCTACTAGGAATACATGATGCCTTATTCTTGTTGCATTAAACTTAACCCAGTATTATTGAGTAACTGTAGGTCGGAGGAAGTCACAGTTGCAGTTGATTATTCATGTAAGCTAAGTCTTAGGTGTGGTCTGTGAACCTCCAGGTAAGTCCCTCCTTTCCTCTCATTGAGTCAGTTTTGAGTGGGATTGTGTAGTCTACTTAGGTTCATCAAATAACACAGATCTGCAGAATAACTGGTTTGAACTGAAAATCTTCTGAGTGATGTTGGATTGCTATGGGAATTAATCACTAGTGAAGGAGCACTAATACTGTGTATCTTTTAAACATGAAAGTGCAGTGGGTATTAGGCCTGCTCTTAAAATAATTAATCCCTCCTTTCCTGATGTGTGTGAGGAATTTGAAGATTACCTTTAAATGGGAAAGGGTCTTCCCTTTAATGCGGAAAGGGTGATACAGGAGCCTCCATGTGAATGTTATTTAAGTTGGTTGTGGAAATGCTTCCAAGGTGCTAGTGAAAGTAATATTATCTGGAGCAATGCTTCACTCCACCTGTTGTCATACAGCATTTGTTCCTTCCCACCCCCACAGCCAACCATAGCTTCATAAAGCTTTGCTAACATTCACCACCTTTGCCATTCCTGCATTTGGCATCTTTTAACACAATACCCTGATTAATTCTACAATCATCGATTTTCACATGGACAGATGTCTCAGTCCTGGCGCTAGTAGGACATTGAACCTTATCATACAGTGATGCAAGATGGATGTCAATTCTGGAGGTGAAACTGGTGCAGTAGTGTGTTCTGATAGTTTTGCTTAAATGAGTAAAAGCTGAAAATGAACTTAATCTGAATTTGTTGCTATTTCTAATTTTCATTGTTAGCTCAGCTCTGATGTACAGGCCTATGTTGTAGAACTATAAATTCCAGTTAGACTACACACTCAAATCCACTACATTTATGTTTGGGATCAACCGTCCCTAGTGATAGGTGTCCTTGCTTTCCTAGCAATGATGGTAAATCTGTTGAGTACAAACATAACTGCATTGCTGTTTACATGCAACTGGCATTACTCTAAAAT